CCCCCCCCCCCCCCCCCTCTTTTCGCTCGCTCGCTGTATGCTAACCACGCAAAACCATTGCGCCGCCTCTCCCACTCACAGACATCCCCTCACCTGCTCAGCACTTCCCCCTCGAATGTCCCCTTCTCCTCGGCCTTTCGAGCCCCAACCACCTCGCGCCCACCAACTGTAGACGAGCAACAATCCTGGTCTTCCTCCTCCTCTCAGCCTAGCTCTTCCCCTCCAGCAGGGGCGTACGCCTCGCCTTCCTCGACGTGGACGAAAGTGACGACCGACTATGGGCACGCATGGGAGCCGAGTGCAGGGAGCACGGGCAAGGCCAAGGAGGAGAGTGGCATGGGCATGGCTGTAGACGATGAGGAGGAGGAGAAGGAGGCTATCAAGCGCTGGAAAACTGGCGAATGGCTCACCGGCTCCTCCACCATCAACACCACGACGTCGTCCTCGTCGACTGCCTCCCCTCTCTGGACTCACATTGAGGGCGACAGCGACATGATGTACGACCCAGACACTGGGCGCAGGGGGGACAGCATTGCGTGGGACTCGGACATCCTGCAGCTTCGTGTGCCGACCAACACGCACGCCCATCCTTACTCTCCGTCTGCTACTTCGGCGTCGAACAGCCGTGCTCAGTTGGGAGCGACGTACTTTGATCAGGCGGTCTGGCAGGCCAACCAGGATAGGATGATGCAGTAGCGGCCGTCCGAACAGGTCAAGCCAACCCAGGCGCTATGCTGCATCGTTTCGTTTGCTTTCGCACTCTCTCTTCCTCACACACACACACATCACAATTAGCATCCAACACCGAGGTCATCTCTCTCTTTCCCCACCCACCGCCTCCTCTCAGCATCCATCCGCCCATCCATCATCCTTGTACATCATCGCGCCACAAAGTCAGAGGTTCACACAAATGTAATTTTTCCCCTTCTCCCATTCATTCATTCATCTCTGTCGGCGCTCGCGCTTCTACTCAACTTCTTCTCTCGATCTCTCGCCTCGGCCTCGTCTTGTCTTCCGCTTTCGTCTGCAGCCCGTCGCAGCCTTGTCTGCTCTCGCTCTCTCGCGACTCCACCTCGCCTCTCCGCCCGATCTTGCATGAACGAACGAAAGCTTGGATGCGGGCGGACCCTGGCTTACCTCAGTTGGCTCATCCACACTGGACCCTGGACGTCCAATTCAATTAGAATAGGCGTCCGCCACTCTCTTTGCCTCCCCTCCTCATCACTACAGCGACATCGAGTGTCATTCGCCACCATGTCCTCCTCACCAACAAGCACGCTTCCGACTAATGGCAACGCGCAGGCCAATGGCGTCAAAGCCAACGGCGTCAATGGCCACAGCAAGGCAGCCAATGGCTCCTCCCCCAACACGAAGCGCAAACGCGTCCTAATCATCGGCGCCGGTTGCTCAGGCATGTCCGCGGCCTACTCCCTCTCTCTCTCCCCCGAAGAGTTCGACGTCAAGGTCTACGACCGTTCCCCCTCGACGGGTGGCTCTGCCACATCCACGCAGCTGCCCGACCCTAAGCGCTTCAATGCAGACTACATCAACGATGGAGTGCAGGGGGCTAGCCCGGTGTTTCATAACACGTTCAAGATGTTCGATAAGGTACTGGGATTCCAGGCTACAGAGGTCGGGTTGCAGATTTCTTTTGGCAAGTACGTACCCCGCGGCGACGAGGACGATGCTCCCGAGGTGGCACGATGCTCACCTCCTCTCCCTCCCCGCTTCGCACCCACAGAGGCAAAGAGACCTTTTGGTCGAACGTCTTCCCCTCCGAGCTAGTAGAACACTTCTCAGCCGACATCAAGAAGTTCGGCCGCGTCCTCCAACACATCAAACGCTTCGAGCCAATCTTCGCCGTCATCCCGGTAGACCGCATGTTGAAGCTCTTCCGCTTCTCCCCCGACTTTGGAGAAAGGATGGTTTTCCCTCTCGTGGCCCTCTTCTTCGGCACGGGCAATGAGACGAAGCATATCAGCTCCGCTATTCTGGAGCGAGTCTTCTTGGACCCTTCGATGCGACTCTTTGAGTTTAGCGAGGAGAGCCTCCTCGCCAGCGTGCCCACTATGATGGCCTTCCCTGAGCTTTCGCGCGTGTACGGCGCATGGAGGCGCAAGATCGAGGAGAACGGGAATGTGGCCGTGGAGACGTCTCGCGAGGTGTACGAGATCCATCGCGGTACCAAAGAGGCAAAGAAACAGGGCGGACACATCCTCGCCAAGACACGCCGAGTCAACGCAAAGGAGGAGCCCCTCACCGGCCCAGACGCTGACGAGAGGATCGAAGTCTTCGACGAGCTTATCATGGCCGCCGACGCGGACTCTGCCCTCAAGATCCTCTCAGCCGGCTCTGGTCCCACATGGCGTGAGCGCAAAGTCTTGGGGAATGTCCTGTACAAGTGGGACGTGACGGTGACTCACTCAGACGAGGAGTACATGCGTCGCCACTACGAGCTCGATTACCAACCGGCCTACAACGCCAAGCGAGAGGATGCTGACTCGAAAAAGGCCTTCGAGTATGCGGAGAAGAACTGGCGTCCCTTGTACCTAATCAAGATGTACGAGAAGGACCCAGCTTTCATCGAGATGAGCTTCGATCTCACCCATTATCAACCACAGTTCCAGGGTACCAGCCCTGTTGGTTCTGGAGCCCGAATCAAGGAAGGTCAAGCTCCACCGTCGGAGCGTGAGGGTACGACTTCGCAGGGCAAGGAAGCCACAACGGGTCAGCACCTCGATCCGGATCAGAAAGAGCCAAGCTACTCGGACCATGTATTCCAGACCATCTACCTCAACAAGGAGATGTCCGATTGGTGGACAAAGGACGAGGTGGCGAAGGAAAAGGTTATTTTGGAGAAATGGTGGAAACAACAGAGCCACCGTTGGCAACATTATGCATTCACAGTCCCTTTCATGTGGGCCATCAATCAGGCCGGGTCGGGTACGCATACCAGTTTCGCGGGGGCGTGGAGTCTGGTCAATATGCACGAGGTGGGGATCGCGAGCGGGTTTTCTGCGGCGTATGCTTTGGGAGGCAAGTACCCTTTCAAGGAGGATGAGGAGTGTGCGAGATTGTTCAGACTCTATTACGCACTTAGCCATATGAGTCGGATGAGGGGGGAGGATAGGAAGGGCTTCTTTGCGTGAGGGGGCGCAGCGACGCGCCATGATAGGAACACTTGTTCTGGCTCTTGCTTTTCCCCTCTTCCTTCTTTTGTTGTTGTTGTCGCTCTTTCTCAACTCATGCATGCTTTTGACGAATACCACTCGATCTCATTGGACCCTTCCGCTCCTGACATGACTTGACGTGGATACACAGACACAGGTACTCTTCTCTCTCTCTCTCTCTCTCTCTCTCTCTCTCTCTCTCTCTCTCTCTCTCTCTCTCTCTCTCTCTCGCGCGCGCGCTGATTATCCAGGGGGAAGAAGACTGGCATCAACCTCTGCCGCCTCCTCCTCTGTAAGCTCATCGTTGCCCGTCCAGCTGCTCGTGATTGGGGAGCGAGGAAGAACCATGGTACCTGTGGGAGCGCGAAGACATGGATCGATCGATCGATCGATCACTCGGTCAGTCAGTCATGCATGCGCTCTCTCTCTCTCGCTGACCAGCTCGTACTCACCACTCCTCGCGCACTCCAACACACCAAAGGGCCTAACAAGCTTGAGGAAAGCGTCGCACCTACTACTCTTCCCGCTCACCTCGACGATGACGCTATTAGAGGAAACGTCAACGACGTGTCCCCTAAACTGCTCAGCGAGGGCAATGACGGTACGCATATTGTCCGACTTGACACGCAACGCCTCTGTAGGGCTCAACCCCGATGTGGTAGACGTACCGGCCATAGCGTCAGCTGCTGCTCCTACGTGCGGGCGAGCGGCGGGACTGTTGGACTCTCGTTCGGCGAGGAGCTCGGGTGGGACGTTTCCCGCTTGGTGTTGTTGCTGTGAAGGTGTAGGACCACTAACAGCCCCACCATACCCATACTGACTCTCCTCAAAGTATTCCGGCCCAAGAATACTGACTTTAACCAGCATAAGCTCTCTTTCAATCACCTTCGTCTGCGTATAGTCCAATACGGCCCAGACGGGTACCAGGTCTTCGAGTTGTCGACGTGCCTGTTCGACTACATCGTCTTGTCCTCGAAGGACGATGCACATTCGAGAGAGGTCGCGGATCTCTGTGGCGCACACGACGAGAGAGTCGATGTTGAATCCTCTGGCGGCGAGGGTGCCTGCTACGCGGGAGAGGACGCCCGGTTCGTTTTGGACTAGGGTGTTGAGGATGTGTCTGTGCGTGGGCGTGGGCGTGGCGAGCCGCTCGATGGTCATCAGTCTTCTGTACCGCGAGACATCAAGCAATCTGGCCAGAGTCAAATTTGTCTCGCGCAGCACTCACCTCTTAAACGGCTGCCTACTTGGCGCGGGCGTGTTATAAAGGATAGTACTAACCGCCTCACTAGCGTCCATCTCTGGCGGCTCCAAGCTAGGCAAAGGGGGAAGCTTACGCAGGCGATGTTGCAGCTTATAGTCTAGGGCGGATGTGCTGTCGTGCTCTGGTTGGTCGGGAATGCCCGAGGAGGAGGAGGACGAGGAGGAGGAGGAAGGCTTCGTGGGGAAAGGACGGGAAAGATGAGAGGAGGTAGAGAAGAGGGAGCAACGTGATGCTGCCACCACCACCGATGGAGTGATGCTACGGGTGCTCACCCCACGAAGGGTGGGTAGAGCGTTGCGCAGCATGGTTTTGATGGTTGGTGGGTGAGGAGGTGGGGAAGGCAGAATGTAAGTTGGCCCTCGAGACGAGATCGAGTCGAGTTGACTTTCTTCTTGCCTGCCCGCCTCGCCTCGCCTCGCCTGGATCGAGTCGATTTGACTTGGACTGACTCGCCCCGCCGCCGCCCCTCCGCGCGACAGGAAGGCAGGCAGGCAGGCAGGCAGGCGCACGTAGGCAAGGCCTCTCGCTGCTTCCCCGCATCTCCTCGTCTACGAGTAGTTGAGAGATGTTTCGATTCGGTGATTCATTTTCGATGTGTTTGAAGACAGAGTGTGTTGATAGATAAACAAGGATAGGAGGTTGTACTGAACAGAGAGCGAGAGAGAGAGAGAGAGAGAGAGAGAGAGAGCGCGAGCCATGCGCTTGTGTTTGGGCGGCATAGGCTGGAATGATGGGCGAGAGGCCAGGTCTGGGGCTGGAGGCTGCTTTCTATGGTACAATGGTGGTCGGGGGATCGCGAGTCGGTTGATGCCAAGGAGGACAGGGGAAGCTATGGGTACAGATATGAAACGTGGGTTGAAGCCGACCGGATGCTATGTCTCGTCTTGCGCGCGCCTAGCACGAATAGCTAAGCGTCTGGGCCTCGACGACTTCCCACGAGAAGTCGCAAGAGGGGCAGCGAGCATAGAGGGCGCAACCTTGACCGCGAGAGACGTACAGCTGAGGGATGCCCCCGCAGTGAGGGCCGTGGCGAGCGCGGGAGGGGGTGGGGTCGATGTCCATCCCGCCGCCGCATGAGGCTGCTTGCTGGGCCTTGAGGAATGCTTGCTGGGCGGCATAGGGCTGGACGTTGGGGTAGGCGCTGTTGCTGGTGGACGAGGGAAAGTAACCACCATGGAGGGAGATGGTGCTTGAGATTGGGGAGCCTGCGAAAAGAGGGCGGCGAAGTGGCCAGGTCAGCATACACGCAACGTGGATGAAGCATTGCCATTTGCTGGTTTGACAACTCACTATTCGCAGAGGAGACGGAGCCGGGGGATCCCCCGCTGGAAGCTCCATGCTGTGCACCTCCAGGAAGGAGGCCGAGGGAGGCGAGCATCCTGAGATTCTCCTCCGCCCCCAAGGGGTGAAAGGTGGCCACCTCGTTGGCGCCTGCCGTGCTGCGATGAGCTGCGAGGCTGAGCTTGCGCTGCTCTGGCGCATGGCCTGCATTGCAGTCGTCGACATCGTCGTCCATACGGCCGCGCTTGCGGGAAGCGGCGAAGCCCGATGAGCAGGAGGACTGGGAGGGAGCGTTGAAGCTGAAGCCGAACTGCGGGGACATGGCGGATGGAGCTACGAGGGGATGGTGGTGTTGGTGGTCGTGTCGATGTTGATGAGGATCGAGTGGATCGCGCTTGGCGATGCTTGCTTGTGGCTTGAATACAGTGTCGCGGTGTGTGTACCACGGTGGGTGCGCAGCCAGGCCAAGTTAATGGATTGGATGCGGCGCGTGCGCGTGCGTGAGCGGGCGAGTCGAGTCGAGTCGAGTCGCAGAACCTGGTTCTGATGAGGTGGTGCTAGCCTGCAATCGATAATCTTCGCACAGCGTTGAGATCGATCACGAGGAGTTGATGCTGTTGTTGGAGACGAGTCTGAAAGGCCACGGGGTGTTGAGGTGGTGGTAGTGGTAGTGAATCGTCGGGAGAGAAGAAGCGGATGCATTGGCGCCTCGAATCCTCGAATCGCCTCGAGGGACGCGGAGGGGGGCAGGGCGGAAGGGGCGCGAGGCGCGACGACGACCGAAAGCGGAGCGCGGGGTGGCACACGGCAGCAGAGGAGAGGAAACGTCGAGCACCCCGCCCGCGCTTGCCTGCGCTTGCGCTCGCACCCGCTTCGTTTCACTTTGCCTCTCCTCACCCTCCCATCCTCGGGCGTACTGCCAGTGGCAATTGCACACGCGCACACCATGGCGCCCACATCAGTGGTCTCGTCATCTCAGACTTGCCACTCTTTCTCGCTGGCCAGATGTGTACGCTACAAGCCCGGCTCAGCAGGCTCAGAGGGCGTCGTCTTCACTCAAGCGGGCCTCGTCGCCCGAGTCGTGCAGCATACATCGTCGCAGATCCAGGGTTTGAAAGGGTTGGACGTCGTGGTTGAGCTGAGCGAAGAGGAGATGGTGACGCCATTGTCGACGAGTTCTCAGCAGCAGCAGCAGCAGCAGCAGCAGACGCAGCCGCAGCCTCAATCTCAAGCCTTGATCCATCACGACAGCTTCAGCCACAGTCAGAGCCAAAGCTTCCACAGCGCAAGGCCAACTATCCTGGTGTGCCCACGCTCCCTTTCCAGCGCCTAGACGCTTTCATTCGCATCGCCGCCCGCGTATCTCTGACCATGACCTTTGCTCCTACTTCCCACCGACCCAACGATACCCCACGCTCGCTACCCTGTCTGACTTCTCGCACGCACAGGCCCACCTGGAGCTCCTCTCCTTCTCCCACTTCCTCTCCACCCTCCCCGCCTCACAGCAGCCACCTTACGCCGTACTCAAGGGTCTGCGTCGCGATAGAGTCGTGGTGTTGCGTTACCTCCATCCGCTGGGGGTTGAGGGGGTGAGCGCCTGCTCCGAGTCGATGTATGCGAGCGATTAGCGAATGAGGCAGGGTTGACCGTTGTGGCTTTGATCCGACTTTGTGGTCCGCGACGCAAAAGCAACAACACAGACTTCTTCGTGCGTCCTCCTCAAGGGCAAGACTACTACGAAGACGACGGCGAACAAGGCTCCACAAACTGACCCTTGAACACCCTCTACTCTGCCTTTGCTCCATCGCTCCGCAACCAGTCGACTTCACCTCGCAAGCAGACGCGGACGACTTCGTATCCCTCATCGAGGTGAGGCGCGAGCGTTTTCATCTGCCAAGCTGGAGGGGGGCAGGCGGAGTCCATGAGGAGTCCATGAAGCTGAAGTAAGGATTGCATATACCCACCGCGATTAGGATGTCTGTCCCATCAGTACCAGCAAAAGCAAGAGTAGCGCCGCAGACACACAGGCGGGACAGCAGAGTGGTTCGCTGGGCCAGATGCAGGGGCGATCCCAGCCCAAGGACCCTGTGGCGCAAGCTTCGTCATCGTCTTCAGCTCACTCTCAGTCTCAGTTCCAATCGCAAGATCAAGGAAGCACAGCCAGGCCAGCAGCAGAAACAGTAGCGGGAGCGTCAGATGGATGCTCCCAGCCGGCGAGCAGTCAAGCTAAGGCCAAAGCCAAGATCCAGGCTCAGACAGGGAGGAATCCTGCCCCATCCGGCACAGGAAAGCCCAAGAAGATGCTGACCACGGCCGTGGCCACGGCTAAGAAGGGTGTCAAGCGCCGGACGACGGAGAGCGGTTGTACCAGGCCACGAACCACTACGGCCGTGACGGCGACCGGTGGCCGCAAGAGGGAGAAGAGACGCAGGATCTCTGGCGAAGAGGCGGAGGATGAGGGGCACACCGTTTTCCACTTGGCAAAAGCACCCATGGCTACGGCTCCAGCTCCAGCTGCAGCTCCAGGCACGCCCGACTCGCAACCTCTCGCCGTGGCCCAAGGCCCGTTCCCTTTGCAAGCAATCAACAGCACCGCGTCGATCTCGCGATCGCAGTCGCAACCCCCCACTCTCAGCCTGTCCGCCTCTCCCTCATCGCAAAACCCCCCACTCCCCGGGCAGTCTCCCACCAACTCCTCCGACTCTCGCAGCATCACGCGCACCCCCGACGGGGAAGCAGCGTCCAGCATCGACATGGACATCGCCCTCGCATCACTCTGCGCGCGTGCAACGAACTCGCCTGCCCATCTGATGGATCAGGCAAACCAGCTCTTGGAGAACCCGTTGATGGACGTCTTTGTGAGTGTGGGCGAGAGCGACGAAGTGAAGGCTACAGAACAGCAGTGAGACTGATCTGATTGAGTCCGCTGCCCCCTCTGATGCAGGTCGACACGATGGCTCAGTGGCTTCAGAGTAGCAGCGAGTAGGGGTGGTGGTGGTGAGGTCATGAATGCGGCGGCGCCGTAAAGCAAGCGAGCGGAGAGATGTGCGTGGGCGGGGGCGATGGCTCACTCTAGGCGGAGGGCGGGGCGGGGCGGACCGACGTGGAGCCTTTGTGGTTCCGCCGCATCTCTCGACCTTGAGAGAGGGTTGCTGCGAGGCTGCGAAAGTGTTACTCTCTTCTTTCTCTCCTCACGAATCCATCATATCATAGCCCGGCCATCCTCTACTACTTCTCCCCACGCCTATCATGCGGGCCAGCGCCAGTCTGCTTACGCTCTTGGCCCTGTCAGTGACATTATCGCTGCTGCTTCACCTCCCTTCGTCTGGCGGCGGCGGCGGCGCTGGCGGGCTAGTAAATGCCCAAGATGCTGGAGCGAGCGGGAGTTCTCACTCACACTCGAAGCCGGCCGCTCAGCTCCTCAAAGAAGGAACAGCAGCCATGGCCTCTGGCAAATACTCATCTGCCATTGCCTCCTTCGACGAAGCCATCTCTGCCGACCCTTCTGCGTACCTCACCTACTATCGTCGAGCTACGGCCTCCCTTTCCCTCGGTCGCACCTCTGCCGCTCTGGCTGATTTGGACCACCTGTTGCGCTTGAAGCCCGACTTTGCCCAAGCGTACTTCTCCAAGGCCAACGTGCTCATGAAGGAGGGACACCTAGACGAGGCACAGCGCTCTGTCAGGGAATTCCTCCGGCTCAAGAAAGGGGACGAGAGGGGCGTTGAGGTAGAGTCCAAAGTGGCAGGGGCCATTCGCCACATCAAGGAGCTGGAAAGTGCGGCTGCTGCGGTGGAGAAGGGCGTGGGCAAGGGCAAGGGCAAGGGCCAGGGCAAAGCGACAGTCAAGGGGGATCGCCAGCTCGAGGCAAAGGCAAACGACTGTGTTACTGCGGCGGGTAAAGTGTTGGAGGTCTCGCCCAACAACCTCTCTGCCCGCGCCAAGCGAGCATCCTGTCGCCTGGCTCTAGGAGACGTACAAGACAGCATGGCCGACTGGTCTCGGATTGCGCACCTTTCCCCTTCGACAGACCTCTACCTGCGTCTCAGCTCCCTCCAGTACTTTGTCTTCGGCGGCACCCCCTCGGAGCGAGACGATGGGCTGGGCTACCTCAAGTCTTGCCTCGCATCCGATCCAGACAACAAGTTATGCGCAAAGGCGCATCGACGCTTGAAGGGCGTGGAGAAACAGTTAAAGAAGGCAGACAGGTTCGCCGAGCAGGGGGAGTGGCGCGCGGTCCTCTCGGCGCTCAAGGGGGCCAAGGTGGGGAAGAATACCGTTTTGCAGAACGTGGAGGAGGCCCTCGCCGAAGACAAGGAGTCTCAGCTCCTCCCTCCAGGAACAGAATCAGCCGTAGAAGCTTCATTGCTCCTCCACCACATCCGCAAACTGCACTGTCGCGCCCATACCTCCCTCGACGAACCACTCAAGGCAAAGCCCTTCTGCGAGACCGTCCTAGCCCAAGATGGGGAGGACGTCTGGGCTCTCGTATCGCGGGGTGACTCGCTCATGAAGGAGGAGAAGTACGAAGAAGCCATGCGCGACTATCGACTAGCTTTGGAGCGTGCGGGAGGACAAGATCAGTCGATCCACTCACGCCTCACCAAAGCACAACGTCTCCACAAGCAGGCCAACTCCAAGGACTACTACAAGGTTCTTGGCGTCTCGCGCGATGCGGACGGTCCGACGATCAAGAAGGCTTACCGCAAGCTGGCGAAAGTGAATCACCCGGATAAAGGTGGCTCGGCGGAGAAGATGGCTGCGATTAATGAAGCCTTCGATGTGCTGAATGACCCGGAGAAGAGGGCACAGTTTGACCAAGGGGTGGATCCGAATGATCCCATGGCTGGAGGGGGTGGTGGGGGGCCAGGGAGTGGGGGACAACCATTCGTCTTCCAGCAGGGGGGAAATCCGTTTGCTAGCTTTTTCCAGCAAGGAGGGGGAGGAGGGGGAGGGGGAGGACAACAGTTCTTCCATCAGGGCTTCCAGTCTGGTGGGAGGAGAGGACATGCGGGACAGCAGTTTGCTTTTAACTTTGGATGAGAGGAGAGCGGGGGGTTGGGGAAAGGGGGAAGAAGCGGTGAATTATAGACGTGAGACGCTACGCGACGCTACGGCCGCGCGCGCGTGTACACACACACACACACACACACTCCTCTCTCCTCCTGTTGCTCAACCTCCTCAGAATGCTTCGATATTTCAACCGCGTCACCCTCCCCTTCTGCTACACCCTCGCCCCATTGCTAGAAGTACACCGCGTCGGGCTTATGCACCGCAATCTTCCCTGACGGACCATGACTCTTCAGTGCGATCCTCGGCTCCTCCTTACTAGCCTTAACGTTCTTCCCTCCCACACTCTTCTGCTCCTTTACAATCTCAACGACATGACCCGTCACCCAACCGGGCATAGCTTTCCACTGGACCGTCTGTCCCACCTCTGGCAGGCGAGTGGAGGACCCAGCAGAAGTGCCAGAGGGGGAAGAGGCAGAATCGTGCTTGGAGCCATAGGTCCCATCCCCTGTGTTGGAGCCTGAACCGCTGTTGGCTGAAAGGGAGACGTTTTCCTGTTTCGAGTTGGAGGCGGAGGAGGAGGACTTGGATTTGTTGGTGGACTTCGAAGACTTGGACGCCGGTTTCGTCTTGACGTCGTCGTCGTCATCGTTGTTGGGGCGGTCCGACTTTTCCTTCTCCTTCTCTGCTTTGCTGCCACCACCCTTGCTTGCTTTATTGGCAGCAGTGCTGCTGCTGCTGCTGCTCTTCTTCTTGTCCTGGGCCTTCTTCGCCTCGTCTTGTGCCTCCTTCTTGGGGGCAGAAGCTTGACGAGTAGATCGACGTGGCTCAGCGGACGTGCTCTTCCCCTCGTCCTCGCCTTTGCTCTCCTCCACCTTCTGCCTCTTCGCAGCTTGCGGCGAGTCACTGCTCTGTTCTTGCTTCTTCTTGGGGGCCATTCTGTGATTGCGTGAAGTGAATGGATGGATGGAAGGAAGGAAGGAGGAGAGTGGGTGAGCGCAGAGGGGAAATGGGAGCGTGGGCGGGGTAAGTACCAGGTCAGGGTGCAGCGTCAGGTAAGCGCGAAGGGCGTGCAGGCGAGGAAGCGAAATGGATTCAAGATGTCAAGATTCGAGCTCCACCCACTCAGGCCTGACCGGCGGCTGACAATTTGACACTGAAGACAAAGGTGGTGCGGACTATTGCTGAATAGCTACTACGTCTTGAATCGAATCGCATCGCTTGGCTGCTTCCCACATGAGATTGACCTCGTTCCCCCTTGGTTGAATGGCTGGTTGGTTGCTGCTTCGTCCCTTTCACCGAGGGCCGGCCCGCCCTATCTCAACACGCAACACGCATGCAAGCTGCACGCTGCACGGGCCGCCGCCCAAAGGAGGAAAATCGGCAACCGAACAAGACAAGGCTGAGCCGGACGGAGGGAGGGACGGACCTCTTGCGTGCGAGACGAGGACGAGGAGGAGGAGGGAGCGCAATCGACTCGCAATTTCACTATTGCTTTTGCTTTCCAATCCATACATACATCCCCTCCGCCCCGGCCCCCTTTCAGCATCCTCATCTCCACCGCTGCCACCGCATCGCATCGCATCGCTGCCCTCGACCCGATGACAAGGCTACCACGTCTCATTACAAATACGTAGAGATCTCCGCCTAGCTTGTCTACGTGCGTGAGGGCGCGGGTGCGACTCCATCCCTTCACCCTCGATCTTCCTCCTCCTCTCGCACGATGATCGATCACCTACTGGGCCGCCCCTCGACGTCCCTCAAGAGACTCCAAGTGCTCGCCGTCCTCGCATTTTGGGGTACGGTGCTCAACAAGGCGCCCGCTGATGGGCCTCGACGGTTTCGTATTGTGAGGTGGGCGAGCAGGCGGGCTGCCCATTTCCCACCCTGGAAGATCGTCCTCACTACCCTCATGTTCCTCTACTCGCTCCGCCACATCGACTCCATCCTAGGCTTCGGTGCCCCCGAACCCTTGGCTCGCATGTACAGTCGTTCCTTCTACCGCGTGACATGGATCGTAACTGCCCTCGACGCCGGCTTCGCTACAGCGCTCAATGTCAAACCCAAGTGGCTGCGGGACATCCTCTCCATGGTCTTTTCTGCTTACTACGTCCTCTATGCAAACGAAGCGGACGAGAAGTTGAGAAAACATCGCGCCTTTTGTACGTTGGAGATGTTGAGGTACACGTGGGAGAAGACGACGAACCCTTACATCCGTTTGGCTACGTGGATCCATCGGCCCTCATTGCCTATTGCTCGGCCCATCCTTCTCCCTCGCCCAACCGTCGCCCCGCACAACAAGCGGCCCATCAAGGCCTGGCTCTTCTACGCCCGTGGCCGCGAGGACTCACTCGCAAAGGAAGAGGAGCTCTATCTCGACTTCCCCGGCGGAGGCTTCATCTGCATGACACCACAGCACCATGAGGAGCGATTACGCCAGCTGGCCAAAGAGGTGCACCGTCCTATCCTCGCATTGGATTACTGCAAGGCGCCCGAGTATCCCTACCCATTCGCGCTCGAGGAGTGCTTCGATGCGTACCGTACCCTCGTCGAGACGCGCGGCAAAGCAATCGGCATGTCCGGCAGCTCGCGATTTCGCCTCATCCTATCGGGGGACTCGGCTGGGGGCAACTTGGCCAGCGGTGTCATGTTCAAGATACTGGAGTATCCACAGCAACACATCAAGGTAGCCTACGCCTCCCTACCCGGCGCGGGGGCGCCCCCTCCTCTCCCAAAGCCCCTCTGCATGATCTTGGCGTACCCTTCCCTCAACTTCGGCTTCACGGCCTGGATGAAGCCCGAGCACCTCCGCGTGCTCAAGGCGCAGAGTGAGGTGAATCTGCAGAGCCTCCAGATCCAAGCTGTTCAGGCGAAAGAGGACGCAAAGGCCGGCAAGAGGGGAAGTCCGCTACGCCCGAGGAGTAGGAGTAGGAGTGGCACAAGGTCCAGGAAGAACAGTCTCACCAACGAGACACCAGCTATCGTTGTTCAAGGAGCGTCGAGACCGCCGAGCAGAGGCGGGCTGGGCGAGGCGCGCAATACCACCACAAGCAGATCGAAGTCGACTCACAAGAGCAGCAGCAGCAGCGCAGACTCGTCGATGGAAAGCAATCAGAGCAAGCGCTATCGCATGCGCTCCTTGGCGAGTCAAGCGGAGCTACACCTCGCTGACCGGGCCAGGCTGGCAGAGGTGGAGAGCCCAGAGTCGACGTCGGAGACTAACTCCCCCGAGCCCCAGAGATGGAACAGGGGGCAGGGCCACGGCCGTGCCCACGGGCGTGGAGGCAAAGACCCTCTACAGCACCTCACCTCCCGCCTAGCGCAGGAGAACGAAGACCAGCCCCCCTCGGACAGCGAATCAGGCCAAGCCCTTCTCCTGACCCAACAACGTGCAGCCGACTCTGCCCGCCTTTCCTCGCGACCTTCCACCAACCCCGCCACCCGCCTCACCATGTCCTCCATGTCCGGCTACTTCCAGGACCGAATTCTCACCCAATCCATGATGCGCGCGATGGCCATCCTCTACATCGGTCCGCGTCTACAGCCAGACTTCGAGCGAGACTACTACCTCAGCCCCGTCGTTGCGCCGAGGGAGTTGCTGGCCGAATGGCCGCCCGTGTTGATGATGTGCGGGGAGAAGGACCCGATTTGCGATGATACGGTGGTGATGGCGGGTCGGATTAGGGAGGCCAAACTGGCAAAACAGGCAGAGTTGATCAGGCGCCGCAACGTGGCTGGAGCGCCGTACGGGGAGAGTCTACGAATGAGCACCGGCGCTGGTCCTGCTGCTGGTGCTGCTGCGCTCGATGTCGACCGCGATCCGCTAGAGGAGGAAGACGTGGACGATTGGGTCCAAATGCGCATCGTAGCTGAGGTGTCCCACGGGTTCCTACAGATGAGCGCCCTTTGGCCCGAGGCGAAGCATATCATCTCGTTCATCTCGGCGTGGTGCGTCGAGACGTTTGATGACGAGGGGGAGAGATTGCGTGAGGAGGAGGGAGAGGCGGCTAGGAGAAAGAAGATTGGCCCCGTCAGCGTCGGCGTTAAGGGGAGGGGGAGTGGGGTCACCAAGCCCGGTCGAGGCGAAGGAGAAGAAGAAGAAAAAGGGGCAACGCTCAACCCTGCCCCTTCCCCTGCCCCTGCGGCCGGACCAGAGCCAGGGAAGGGGGTAGGGCGTGCCGTCCCAGTCCCAATAAGCAAGGATGACTCACAGGCGCAGACGCAGTCGCAGGTACCCTCATCTTCCCCCTCCGCTGCGACAAGAACAACGTCACCACAGCACCGCCACGCGCGCCTCCCCTCTACTTCGATTTTAGTGGACGACGAGTCTTCCTTCCTGTCCTTCACGCCAAAGAAGTTGAGGTCGCCCTCTTTCCTTGCGGGAGGGGTGGCGCAGGGTGAACCTCCGGCCTCGCCAGCAGTAGCAGCAGCAGCTGAGGCAGCACTGAGTGAGGGCGCCACGACCACGCCCAAGACCACGACCGTCGGAGGTGTGGGCGAGGTCGAATCCCCACTCAGGTTGAGCAAGCCTGCCCTTTCCTCTTCGCCGGCTTCTTCACCTGAGGTTCGGCCCCAGCAGCAACAGCAGAAGGGCGCGTCCTTTTCCACCGATCGAACCGGTCAGGACGACGGGCCGTACCCAAACGAGGGGCACAGCTTGAAAGGTAGTAGTGGTGGTAGGAGCGCGACCCGCAATCGCCCTACCTCATTCAGTGACATCCTTCTTGACCAATCGCGGTCGCACTCCAAAAGAGAGGGAGGAGCAGCCACCGCTAGCGAGGGGATGCATGAGCAGCAGCAGCAACAGCGACAGCAGCAGCAGCAGCAGCAGCAGCAGCAGCAGCAGCAGCAGCACAACGGACAACAGGCGCAGGGACATCGCGCCTCCTCCTTCGCCTCACCCTCTCCAGCGCACCACGATAGAGATCGAGACGTCTCGCCGGTCTCCTCGTCCTCCCTCCTTGCCTCCCCCGAAGGAGCGGCGCGTCGCGGCAGTCGTACACGTCGACGTCCCTCCTCACAAACTGCGATCGCTTCGCCTTCGGACGGGGAAGTCGGCGAGCAGCACCAGCAGCAGCACCAGCAGCAGCGTGCGGCCTTCCTTGTCCGAGAAGCGAGCCTGCTGCAGCGCAGGAGGGAGGAGGCCGTCAGTGGCTTGGGGGCGGGCGTGGGGGTGAGCGCTGTTGTTAGTAGTGGGAGTGAGGGGGAAAGTGAGGGTGAGGGCGAGAGGGGGAGGAGGGGATGAAACGATCACGACGGCGACGACGAGTAGCATTCCATTTGATGACTTTTTGAGATTACATCGCGTCACATCACATCACATCACATTACATCACATCAATCAGACGAGCCGGTTTACATTACCAGAGAGGTGTGTGTGGCGCGCGCGCGCGTGGGAGAAGAACGGGCCTCCCTACGAAGCGGGCCCCGCAGCTGCAGCACCTACTCCTCCTCATCTTCGCAGCTTGCCCATCCAGCCTCCTCCACCTCGTGTGGCCTCTTTGCCGTTGCCGTTGCCGTGCGCATGCGCGTTGCCGTTACCATTGAGGGTATGCCCCGTCCCATTCGCATTCCCCTCCTCATCCCCATACTCCTCGTCCCCACTCTCCTTCCCATCCTGCTCCTCCTGCTCCTGCTCCTCCCCAGCTCCACCGCCAATCGCGCCGTCCCCCCTCCTAATCCCACTCGCCCCCTTGGGCAGATCCCCCATCAACCTCGCATCCCACCCACTAGGCGCAGCACTAGCCGACCGGATACCGATCTCCTTATCGCTGGTGAAATCCGTCGCGAGGTGTTTGCGATAGATGGCCAGGAAGGGGTAGAGGGTCGCGATGACTTTTGCTAGGATGGGACCCGTCGAGTTGGAAGAGAGAGGGTCCACGTCCGCGTCCGCGTCCGAGGAGCTGGGCAAGAGGTGAGAATAAAGTCGCAATGTATGGGAGCGGGTTGAGGTACGCAGATAGACTGCGAGGGTTTTCTTCTTTCCCCCCGAGGAGGACGAGGAGGAGGTGTAAAGCTCCATACTACTGAAGACGGACCCTTTCCAAATCCACGTCTCCCCCTTGGCGCTCCCGTTCCCGATTCCCGGGGCGTCAAACTCAAGCTTATAGCTGCTAGTCCCCCATCGCTTGCGCGGGCTCAGCGTGGCATTGGCCGCACCGAGCTCCTGTGGGATGAGTTGCCAACTTTTCCCCGCCTCCTTCCCACCGCCGCTACTCGACGAGGTACGTATAGTGTACAGGTGCTCATTGGCTCGCAGAAGGTCCCGTACGTGCACGTCAGTTACGAGGCCCTGCACCTCGACGCCGCCGTACTCCTCGGCGCTGGGGGGAGCAGGTGGTGTGAGCTCGTAGAGGACCTGCTTGCCTTTCGCAGGGTCGGAGATGAGGATGGGGGAGAAGGGCTCGTCCGCCCCGTCTATGCAGAGGGGAATCAGAGGTCCCGTGCCGTAGCGCATCGTGTGGTGAGAGGAGGACGAGGGGGACGAGGAGGACGGGGAGGGGTGCGTCGAGGTCAGGGGACGGGCGGAGAGGGTTGCATTGTCTGATACGGTGTGAGCTCCGGTTGTGGTGGACATGGAGGTGGAGGGGGCTAGGGAGGTTTGTGAGGGGGAGTGCGGGTGGTAGGACATTGCGAGGAGAGTGGAGAGCGAGGAGAAGGAGCGGGGATTGAAGGGTATAAGAGGGTGGATTGAGATAGCGAGGAGAGAGAGGGAGAAAGAGACGGGAAAAAGCAACGCAACGCAACGCAGGGCTAGCTTCGCAGCTTTGCAGCTTCCCAGCTTAGACCGAGAGATGTGCGTGGGCGTCTTGCGTCTTGCGTCTCTTCTCTGGTCCGTTGGTTGACTGAGCAGCAGCGAGATTCCCCCTCGGGTCTCTGCGGGGTCGCTGCGCCAGGCACGCGTGCACGCGGACCAAGAGGGGCGAGCAGAGGGCAATCCATGGTTCGGCGATTCCGGCGGCTCAACACTTCCCTCCTTCCGCTCGTCCGTGCCCCGCTCGCTGCTTGCTTGCTTCCTTGTTTGCCTTTCCGTTCCTCTCACCTCATCGCCGTACGATGAAAAGGCGACAGGATGACATCGATCAACGCCAGCTCGACTCGCGTGAGTGGTCAGACTGAGGCTGCGGGTGCACCAACAAGACTGGTAGGAGCGGGCAGCCTCTCACCGCGATGGGCCATCGTGCGACATTACAAGGGTGCGTGCGTGCACGCGTGCGTGTATGCGCGTTGATAAGCCTGTACAATGCTCACTTTTACGCGTGCCCGTTCTACACTGCTGTTCCTCGCTGCTCTACGCCACGCTGCGCCACGCCACGCTCAGTCCTCTACTCGTCAGACGGAGAGCACAAGGCCGAGTCCAATCGCGTATGGCAGGATGGGCGGGTCGCGCAGCATACCTTTAATGGCAAGGTGAGCGAGTGCATGCCTCTCCCTCTGTTCATCCTCCCCTCACCCAGCTGAGCGCCCCCTTTCTCTCCCCCTCTCCTCGCCACTCGTGACGCGCGCAGCTCTTCCTCTACTCCTCCCCCTTGGACCTCGAGCTCGCAACATGCTTTGCCCCTACCCAGTCGCTGGGTCATGGGCTGCTCAGTGAGGGGACAGAGCTCCAGCTGCCGGGGGAGGTTATGTATGCCGTTGAGGTCGTGGGGTTTGAGAGGGTGACAAGGACGGTAAGTTGGGCATGGCGCGCGTGGATGGGAGGAGAAGGGCCGTTGGGACTGGGACTCGGAACTGACACCCTGTTGCCCGCGGTTGTCGATGTCGACAGGACATCTCCCCGCTCGTTCAGGCGAGGGAGGAGGCGAGACAGCAAAATAGACGATCCTTGGCTGCTAGTGGTCCGCAGCAGCAGCAGCAGGAGGAGGGCATCACCTCAATCAGAGCAGCACCTGCATCTGCAACTGCGTCCACGAGAGCTGGTAGCGGGAGCGCGCCCACAGGCCCAAAATCCTCACACGCCTTTCGCACGCCCTTCAAGCGCAAGTTGCCCGACTCTGACGCTGATGGTGATGAAGAGGGACGAGGGAGGGAGGACGGCAGCCCGTCCTCAAAAGGTTCGAAGCCGCAGAAGAACGGCAGCAGCAGCAGCAGCAGCAGCAGCAGTAAGAAGAAGCTGGGCTCCACACGCGCGAGGCACGAGGAAGAAGTAGTAGCCGCCCGGGAATAGCGAGCTAGTCAGCTGGGTGGAGCGAGCGGGCGAGGCGGAGCGTTGTAGTGCGGGTCGCTGAGCCCTTAACCAGAGTAGATGGCGCGCTCAACCAGAGTAGGGGAAGGGCAGGTCCCGGCTAATCAAATTGGATGTCGACGTCAATGTCAATGTCAATCCACAACGAAGAGAAAGAGGCTGAGCGCCACCCAGCCCCGCCCTGGAGTCGCGCTTCGTTGCTTTCCTTCTGCAGAAGGGTCAACAAATGAAATCAATCGAATCAATCAATATTGCCTCTGCGCCTCTCTCATTAGACGGCTAACACGAGCTAGCCTTGCTTGGTGGACTGAGAGTGCTGCTGCTGCTGCACAGCCAGCCAGCCAGCGTCGTGCCAACTTTCCACTCGGCCGCCCCGTGCCGACTCTTGCCGTCGACGCACGCACGCACGCACGCCTCGTCGATGACGCTCAATGAGAAGGGCGGTGCATCAAACTCCACATCGCACCGGGCACGGAGCCCAGTTCCAGTCCAAGGGTGGAGCGACTCGCACCGCACCGCACCCGCTCAACCGCCCGCACCGCCCGCTTCGAGACGAGACAGACGGAACCCCTTTAACCCTTGTTGCCATCCTTCCGTCCTACTTATCCCTCCGATCTTTCCTCTATCAAGAAACAAAGGATACAGCCTCACTTCAACCCTCAACGAACGTAGAAATACTCAATTGCCCACCATGCCGTTCACCTGCTCTGATATCATCAAGGTGAGTGCGGGCGAGTGTCCAGACCAGGGTGGTGGACGGACGAGATGTGGTGGGAGGAGCTCCATTCGTTTTCCTGTTCGATAGCTTGCCACCCGTCGTCCATTTCCCCCTCTACCCTGCTCTCAATCTCAAAGGCACATCTCACTTCATTCACCCTGTTTCCTCGCACCGGCAGATCATCTTCGCCATCTTCATCCCCCCTCTGGGTGTATTCCTCGAGCGCGGATGTGCCGCCGACTTCTGGATCAACATCCTCTTGACCATTCTCGTGAGTGCCCGCGCGCCCTACTCGAAGGGAGCTCCGCTGACCCCAATCTCCTCTCATCCTCGCGTTCGCGCTCGCGCAGGGCTACATCCCCGGAATCATCCACGCTCTCTACGTCATCTTCAAGTATTGAGGTAGCGCAGCCCACAGCCCTCCAGATCCAAGATGACGAGAGACGTGTAGAGTAGGGCCAGATCAGGTGGATTTAGCCAGCCAGAACGCACGACGGGCAAAACTCCTAGCTTGGCCATTCGACGCACCGCTCTCACTTGTCCCCTCTACATCTGATCGGTTCGGTCAATGGTCATCTTTTATTCCCCCCGTCTCTCACACACGCACGCGCGTGCGCGCATATCTACGTCTGATCCTTTTCCTCCCGCTCCTCTCCGCACACTCACTCCGTTCGCGTTGCGTTCACACCCTCTTCTTCAGATCCATCCCACCCAAGCGCAAACGCATGACAAGCATGAGCGCCGCAGCGACCAAGGTGATGGACCCAAAGAGGAAGAGGGCAGGGCGAAACGAGTCGGCACTCAAACCACCGCTCTTGGCTGAGGCGTCCAGGATCCACCCGGCTGCCGGTGGGCCCAGTAGGGTTCCAGGCACGCGAGAGAAGAGGACCATGCTCATTGTCTGGGTGTGCGTGCGTGGAGGGGTAAAAAAAGGAATCAGTCAGCCAGCGAACGGAGACTCGTCTCTACAATTCGCCGTCCCGACGCGCCGCGCACTCACCACGCCCATCTCTCCCACGCTGAACAAGCTCGCATTGACCGTCGGCTGCAGACTGATCAAGGCTCCCGTACACGCCCCGTTGATGAGGAGAAAGGCGACGAGGAGGCCCAGATTGTCGCCCGCAACCACCCACATAGTCAGGATCGACACGCCCGTGATCGTCATGGCTAGCAGAAGGGAGGTCACAGCCCCGCGAAGGTCGGCGAGGAGGCCGAAGCCCTGGCGTCGAGTGGGCAAGGCGAAGGGGCGAGGCGAAAAAGCGAGAGTGTAAGCGGCAGCAAGCAAGGAGCGATGGGGAGGGCGCGAAATGCTCACCAATCGACCAAGCGCGTTTGCCAGACTGAATCCGGCGACTAGGTATGCCCCGACGGACGCGTCGTACCCTACAGCCGTGGCGAAGGTGGGGAGGTAGTACGGAGGGATGTACAGCACGAAGCTGCTCAGCGCCGTAGCGAGGAAGATGAGCGTCTGCGCCGCGCGTGCGTGACGAAGCGGTTGCGGATTGCTGGTCAGTAAACACCGCCTCTGAGCGTTGTCGTCGCTCGCACTCACAAAGTTCCAATCCCGAAAGTACCTCCAAGAGGGAACATGGACTGCTGCCCTACCCTTCTCCCTGACCCCCCACGCCGCCACTCCCAACCCCAGCCAAGCCGTCCCCGCCAGCACGCGAATCGCCCACTCCAACCCAACGCGTCTCTCCAGCTTTCCCAACGCGATGGCGAATACAGCTCCGCCCACACCGCTCCCACTGTACACGATGCCCAAAGCCATCCCCCTCCTCCTTGCGAACCATTGTGCAGCAAGCGCATTCGTCGACCAAAAGAGGAGGGCGTACGCCATTCCGAATGTGCCCTGCGCGAGGAACAAGGTCCAGACTGGCGCGGAGAAGGTGAAGGAGGTGCCCAGCTGCCCAGCCCCAGCTAGAGCTGCGCCGGCTAAAGCGACTCGCCTTGCCCCGTAGTGGGAAACGAGCCATGCGCAGGGAATGCCCAGGAGGGAGACGCAGCAGGTCATGAGGGAGCCGATCCACCCGAGCGTCGAGGCTGTGGCGTATCCCCGGGAGAAGAGGAGGGAGGAAAGAACACCGTACGAATTTACGAGGCCGAGGGTTATCAAGAACTGCGCGCGAGGTAGGTGGGGAGGGGCCGGGTGGTATGTGAGTGGGAAGAAGGCCGAGATGGGGGGAAAGGAAGGGATAGGCGGGGACGTACGATTGTCGTTGCTGCAGCAAGGACCTTCCAAGCTTTGCGCCCGCCGTCCTGCTCCTCTTCTATTGGCTCTGGCTGCATTGAGCCGCTGCCATTCCCACCATTGCCATGCTCAGTCGACTCTCCTCCTCGCTCATCTCGCTGCATTGAAGAGGGAGAGCAAGGGGCAGCACTAGCCTGTGGAGGGGCCAGCCGCACCAGCTCGATTTCGGCGCGTCGCTCTTCACTCTCCAATGTAGACTCTGTTGGACGCAACGCTGCTTGATGGAGGATTGTCGTCGTCATCTTTGACAGCGCGATGACATGAGAGAACGAAGAACAAGGTAGAGAGGCAGCGAGGCAGCGAGGCAGCGAGGCAGCGAGGCAGGGAAGAGTATTGAAGATCGCAGGTCCTTAGAAATGCCAGAGGCCCGTGCGGTATCCCACCCCGCGTTCGCCCGACCGTGGACACAAGGCGGATCGCAATGAGGAGTCGCCACATGGCTGCTGTGCATCCGCCAGATGCAGGTGCATCGGAGTCTCAAAATGGATTGCGCTAGTGCGCCAGAGGCTCAGTCGCTGCGTCCCTCATCCCCACGCCGCGCTCACTCCTCGCCTTTTCGACTTACCACCAACACTCTCAGTTGCAGACAACGATGTCCCTGCGACAGGAAAAGCCTCTTGCCCACCCTTTGGAAAGCTCAACGCATCGTCAGTCCCTCCACAATGCAAGGTTGACATCTTTGCTCAAGTCGCTATTCCTGCTGGCGTGTGTGTATAGACTCCTCTCGGTGGACACTGACTTCACTTCGCTTTGGAGACGACCCGATCTGCGCAAGATGCTCGATGCGATGCCCTTCAATGATTTCTCAGCCGGATCTCAAGCTTCCGAACCGCTATCGTCACCCGTATCCTCAGACCGATCCTTTTGCGTAGGACCACACGGACAAGCCTTTATTGAAGGGCAGAGATTTGAGACCCCTAGGCAGCATCCTATCCCGGCACTTGGCATCGCTTCGCTCTACGATCACTCCTCGTGCTCGACGTACGCCTCAAGGTTCGGACAGTACGGCGATGACGCGCTGGCCATCGGCCGCAATGCTCTCGATTGGCGAAAAGCAATGCAAGAATGCCACAAAAGCTGGCTCGGCAAAAACTCCGCTCCTCGCTCAGCCCTAGTCGTCCAAACGGACGAGTACAAACGATGGGTAAGCGCTCAGCCATGTAACCTCTGAATGAAACACGACGAGTGCTGACTTCGACGACAGACCCATGATGACGTTCTGAACATGCGCGCGGCCATCGCCGAGCTGAGCCTCAGTTTCACTTCAACGCGAGCTCCAATGGACGTTCACATCCTCTTCCAGGTTTACGACAAGAATTCGTCCTTTGCTGCATCTACCACCGAGCGCGAGCGTGTGCTCCGCAACAAGATCCCCGAGGAGTTCCGGAACCTCACCACCCTGTGGAGCGAAGATCAAATGGCGGCCGAGTACCGCGGCCTGCCTCACACGAATATGATCAACAATATGAGCCCACACACGTGAGTTTCAGGCCACGACAACTCGGTGTATTAGTTCACGTTGTCAACGCGCTGTCTTTCACGTCGCTGCACAGGTGGTACCGATCTTCGTATATGCCTCTTCAGGTCTTCGCCAAGCAGCATCCTGAGTATTCGTTCTTCTGGAACTGGGAGTCTGACGTGCGCGTCATCGGCGACATGCGTAACGCATTAGAACAATTCTCGGGTAAGTCACAGCGCACGGGCCTGAATGGCAAGTATATGAAAAAAGCAGCGTTGACGAAGAGGTTTGACGAATGGTGCAGACTATGCTAAGGGGCAGCCCACATCTCCGAATCTGGAGGGCATGGCGACGTGGCCCATGACGGCGGCACAAGACAATGCGCATCAGTCACAGCATCACGATCTACAGCACGGCGTTGGAACGGAGGCAGACCTCATCACTCTCAATCCCATCTCTGATGTGCCTGGTAGCGGATGGTACTGGGAGTCCGATGTGCAAGGTGGGTCGGACCCATCGTTGGAGAGGGTTGATCTTTGCTGACTTGTATCTGACGGCCTAGGCTACAACGAAGAGGCCCTTCGCTTTCGCAAATTTTCTCTGGGTCGCTCTGTGCGATTCTCCAGGGCCCTACTCGAGAGCATGAACAGGGCAAATGCTGTCGACAAGCGCTCAATGTTCACCGAGTCATGGCCTGCGTCCCTAGTCCATCACTCGCACCTGCCTGATGAACCTTCGCTGCAGTACTCTCGTGGGACTCTGGCGCCCAGAATGAAGGCAGTCTACGTGCCCCATCCAGTCTTCACCAACCACGCTTGGGATCCAGCAGTCCTGGAACGCTTCTTGACTCGCTCTGATCTTTTCTGCCCCTTGGCAAGAATCGGAACTCGGGACTTCACCTTCCACGACGGACCAAGCCAGGCTGACCACGATGCATACTCGGCATGGCTGAGCGGAGCTTGCCGCACTCGCGCCCTAGTCCGATCGCGTCATTGATCTTCTCCTGTCTTCGCAGGCGTATCAGTGCTCAAGACAGGGCGCGTGTGATGCCGAGGAACTCCCCGGATACTCGTGCATTACGGTACAAGATCATCGTGCCGCCGCTTGACTTGCTCTCACTCGTGCGTCCTGCAAACGAGCTGCAAGACTACGACGAGCGACGATCGACGATCCAGTCAAGACGGCCTTGCCCATGCTCGGCTGCTATTCCTCCTTCCCCGACGACTAGCAATCCGTTCAGTTGATGGGCGTCAAGGCGAGCCATACCAGTATGCATCAAGGACGGGCCGATGAGTTGCGGATGCTGATTGCCGTAGGAGAAGAGCGCTCACTTCGGTAGCATGGGGGGAGCGAGATCGATCGCCCAGCCCCCTGCTTTAAGAGGGCGGCCCCCACTGACACTGCGCTGAATGTCGAGAGCGCGAGCGCAAGCACGATGGTCAGGGGCGCAATATCAGGACGCGAGCGATAGCAAAGCGTGTAGGGATCGACGAGGAACGGGGTGGTCGTGGGTAGAGGGCGTCGCGCGAAGGAACTTTGCTCGGCAAAAGGATAGAAGAGGCGGCTTTCCTCCTCGTTCAGCTCGTTCCTATCCTCCCCACCAACTGCTACTTCTCCAAGTCGCCTACGTAGGATTCCAAAGCTGCCAGCCTCTAGCCAGCATGGTGAGCACGAATGCGCCCCTTTCTGGATGAGGCGACACAGACGCTCGTATGTGCACACAGACTGACCCAGCCCCGCCCTCTACTCGGCGCAGCACTACCTCAACCTCATCACGCTCCTCGCCACGCTGCTCCTGGCCTTCCAGGTCCAAGCCTACTACCTGGGGCTCTGCTTCGTCGACTACTCCTGCAAGAAGGGCGGACTAGCAATCGACGGACCGGCCAACACTACGACGACCTTCCAAACTTCGTGCCATTCCTGGTACCCTAAGCTGACAAACGGAAAGGTCTGCACCACGGACAGCTGCGGTGGGACTTGCAAGAAGGTCACTGTGGGGAAGTGTATGAAGGCTAATCAGGCGCAGTGGGCTTCTTACTGCTTTTAGATGAGCAGGGAGAGAGAGAGAAAGGGTGCGAGGCACCGATCAGCCAAAGGGACAAAGGATGGTGCGTGTGCATCTGTCGGGAGAAGAGTACGTGAGCATGGTACGAGCTCCCGGGCCCCGTACTTTCCTCCTAGCCTTCTGCATCACTCGCACTTTGAGCGCGGCCTTTGTCGCTGTCATCGTCGTTGTCTACCCAGTATCACTCGAGACTCTCTTTGAGAAATCACATCTCGACATTCTTTCGCTGCTCGCGGTCTGAAAGCTGAGGGAAAGGTGGTTAGCCGCTCGACCGCATCTCACTGCTCATGACGCCGTAGAGCCTGCCAAGAGGGCCGCGTGGCAAACAAAGCGACGCAATGCGAGATTTTGAGCTCCGCCGATGCCAGCCTGCAGCCAAGTGCGGCGGCTCCACAATCGATTGGTCTTTGCGCTCAACACAACACATCTCCATGATCCACAACTGTTCTGCATCGACGACATCGATGCGCAAGCTGCCATGCAAAGTAGCGTATCAGCGCTAGACTCTCTACCAAGGAGTGAGCGCCATCGCGCCTTGGCAAGACTAGACCTCTCACGCAAAGACCTCGGCGACCTTTTCCTCCTCGGCCTGCCCAAATCCGACATCGCCTTCCTCATCAGATCTCGCCAACACCTATCTTGGGCCCTTGACGCTCTCCTGAGCAGCGATGTTGATATAGACCTACAGATTGAGGTCGTATCCGCGCAGGTCGTCGCAAGTCATTGGAAGAAAGGCAGCAATCAAGATGCCATAGCCGATCGTCTGGTTGGCCTTGGCGGCGATTCGTACGCGTCCAACTTCTCTACTATGCTCGACCGGATGAGCTACTCCGCTCGCAAAGCCTTTGCCCAAGCTGCTCGCAGAGGCAAATGGCACTCGCCGCTGAAGGAGCGAGAGACCCACGTCATAGAGTCTTACCTCTCTGACGCCGCCGGCGAACCAGCCACTTTCGCAAGCAGAGCCACGCTGGTCTGCCTCGTATCTGGCAAAGGGCTTCGGCACTTATTGCAAAACGCTTTGTTGCCGACCTGCGTGAAGTTAATCTCACCTCGATCATGGGCAAAGCTGGTGCAAGATCACTATGACGTCGTAGCAGAATGGGCTTTGCAGCTCGACTCCAAGACGGCCATGTCGACGCTCGACGTTGCGAATCAACGCGTCCTCCCACTGCTCTGCAAGCATGCCAGCTCAGGGTCGTCGACCTTGGGCCATCAAGTCTGCGAGACTCTCATAGACAGGGAGGAGAGCGGCAGAGGATCTCGTGTACTCGACTTGCAATTGCCGCACGTCTTCTCTGCGATGGCCACCATTGGCTGGCGACCTCGACAACTCCATCGTCGCCGCTTACGAGGGGGACAAGCAACTGCGGCTCGAGCGTCTGCGCTTCATCTTCTGGCTCGCTTCATCGCAGTGTTTGACAGAGAGACGCCATCGACCTACGGTGGTGTGCCAAGCCGCGCGACAGCCGAGACAATCAGTCCTTGCGAAGCGACAGATGCCATTGAGTTCATGAGAGGCCTACGAACAGAGGGGGAAGAGGCAATTACCCGCAAGCTACTGCAAGCCCTCGTCGAGCCCAGTTGGTGGGATCGAGCCAGGCTGATCTCCATTCCTGCGACAGTCTTGAGGCGCTTTTCGACGTCGACGCGCCACACTCTTCTCGCGCGCTTCATGTCAAATCTGCAGCACGAGGTCGTTTCACCGTATGCCACCCTATCAGTGGACGCACAAGCGCTTCTTCTACTCGACAGGGAGCACGCACTGAATCTCTTGACGGAACTTCGTAGCGCTTCAGTTCGCATGCGCATCTTCTCGTCCCGAATTCAAGACTCTAGCAACCGCATTCAATGTGCTGTGCACCACTCCTGCTCCACTTCCTGGTTCTGGGACATTTCTGGGGAACCACACGGCAAGATAATCAAGCTCGACTTCCTTTACGCGGCGCTTGGTATTCCGGAGGCAATACCGCGCGCTCTCGAGTACATTCGCAAGCTTCAGCCTTCAACCGGAAACGAACGCGGTGATATCGCTTTGGCCTCGTGGTATTTCTCCATGGTGCAACAGGACGCGGATGAGGAGCAGATGGTGGGCGCGCTGCAAAGGCTACTCCAGGCGTGTCGTCTGGATGCCAAGGCCAGAGAGACCATCTGGATGAACATGTCCTTGATCGACGACGCACTTGCCAATCACTTGATCGCAATACCCGACGGCGTTGGCGATCGCTGCTGTGACTTGCTCACAGAGTATCTCGAATTTCGCTCCTCGACATTGGACTTCAGCACCACGGAGGTAGAGCTGGTATTGAGCCCTGTTGTGTGTGTTCTTCTGCAGCGTCTGAGGCGAGTGTCGGGAAAAGGACGGGAGGTGAGCATCCACGCTCCTCTGAGGGTAATTGCATGGGCGCGGAGCGTCGTGCCCGAATGGAAGGTGAGTTGAAGTCGGCGCTCGCTCGTGTGTCATACCTCGCTCTGACGCAACGTACTTTTCACAGCCGGACCAAACGGAAGCTCTCGTCATCCTTCCTGAGCAGATGGACAATCTTCACCGGCTCGGACCCTACCTCGACGAGGTCGCGAATGCGTGGACTGGTCCCGGATTGACACGGCTCTTGAGCCTCTACGGTCGCAAGTGTTACATCGATCTTTCGCAGCATGCTCCTCGGTATACGCAAGCGATTGAAAGTATCATCCGCGACAAGGACGATGATTACGTGCAGGATGCTCTCTTGATCACTCTGCGATATCAGGGGTCTGTAGCGGCCCAAGCCGCCCGTTTCGCAGATCTTTGGGAGATTGAAGCGCTTCAGACACACCTCATCAATATGTAAGTCTCTCTACCTCAGCCGCCTCAGCGAAGCGAGCATCACTGACTGGCCGCGTCCCTTCGCATCGCACAGATGCAAGCGAGATGATGCTCTGAGGCGATTAGGACAAGCGCATCTTCGAACTGTCGCACTGCCTTCCAACGAGGAGAGCTTTCATGCCTGGATTGAAGCAAGAATGGTCAAGGCAGCCAGCGCAGCAGAGCACCGGAGCGCTCTCGCTGCCCTGCTGCCGCGCGAGGCGTCTCACCTCTTCCGTACCACGCAGGGAGATGCACTGCCAAGCGCCATGGGTCAAGTGACGTCGCACTCGCACCCCTTGCGTTATCGCTGGCACAAGTTCCTGCAGAAGCTCTTCCACTGGGGCTCCGTCACGCCACAAGAAGTCTTGCCGCTCCACGACGGCGTGTCCTCCTCTTCCTCGCCCGGCAATTGTGCACCCCTCCTGCTCCTGGCGATTGCCAGGTCGCCCGAACCGGCGCTGGCCTGGAAGGTAGGCTTCCCCGATCTAGCTTCACCAAAGGATCAGAATCATGGCAATCTCCGCACAGCTTTGCTCCACGTCTCTCCCTTTCGCCGCGCCACTGCGGCTCGAACTCGCGCTTGGCTGAAGGACATGTGCGGACTCTTGCGAGCCGCGTCGCCGCCGAGGGTCTCCATTGCCAGAGCGTGCCAGGATGTCGTGGCGCACAGCGGCGTCTACACATCGGACGACATCCTCGCCGTGTCCTCCTTTGCGATCGAGCGGTCGGGACATATCGACGTAGCGGCGCAGGCGCTCCATTCTGTCGTGGAGGTAGCAGCGCAAGGGTCACGGGCTGCGCTCTCCTTGCTGCATCAATTCGTCTACCAGCGTCCACCCCCCGTGGCCCCGCATCCAAGCGTTGGAGCCTCTCTGGCGCAGGAGCGAAGTCAGGAATATCAAATCCGCCTGCGGCGAATCATCATCCAGGCGTGCATCCGCCTCTCAGCAAGCATGACAGGCAGCTCCTCGACAAGGGCTCTGCGGGACATTGTGGTGCCAACGTTGCAAAGCATGACCGATCAAGAGGTGGTCCAGACCTTGCCGCCCGCAATCACTGTCCCATTCCTTGTTCTTGCTGCCTGCAGTGCGGCGGATGACGCAGCGGAGGAGCTCTTCAGTCGAATGCTCCAAGCGGCGCGCGTCGCAGATGAGGATGCCGCTGCCAATGCAGCTCGCAATCCGGGCACTTGGGTAGGCTACGACGTCACATCAATGCTGACAGAAAGAATCGGTCAAACGGCCGAGCATCTTTCTCGCGGAGCTTCCCAACCAGCCGATCGGCTCTTTGACTTCCTCGTGTCTCTGATCAATCATCCCTCGCGGCCATCCACAAAAGAGACGGCCTTCAAGACATTGACGCGCTGCGCGAACGCACGGGCATGGGTGGACAACCTCGTACACGCACTCAGCGAGGAAGCAGAGCGAGCAGACCCTATCTCGCATCTTGACACGCTTCTCCTGGCCACAAGGCTACAATGGCTTTCCGAGGAGCCTCGCGCGTCCGCCTTCCTCCTCTCGCTGGACAGGCTAGTGCGCGTCATGAGGCACACAGAAGCAGTAGCGACCGTGCTGCTCCTTCATTCTCCGTATCACCTCGAAGACAAAGACGAACACAAAGTGGACATCATCGCCTTGGTCGAGGGCGTCTTGGACGAAGTGAGCTCAAACGTCGCGGCAATACAGTCGCTCGCTACGCAGCAAGCCATCTGCTGGCTCGTAGAGGCGCATCGCCGCTTGCCGGGACGCGTACGGCGCTTCATCGAAGAGCGGGCGGCAGATCATGAGACGCAGACGGTCTGTCGGATGATGTGGGCTTGTGCGCTCTTGCGTCTTGATGCAGAGAGGCGTTGAATAAGACGCTGCCTTTCCCCTGCTCTTGCCAGTGTGTGGTGTCTCATCTGGGATTGGAAAGCTTGATTGTGGCAGTGTTGGTGTAGTAGCTGTGCGGCTTGTCTGCCTTTCCCCTGCTCTTGCCTTTGTGTGGTGTCTCATAGAAGTATGTTCCTGCGGGTTATGACCTCCGATCGTCTCGGGGCCTTAAGTAATGTTATAGAGCACCCCTTGAAGGCCCTATAACCCGCCTTTAACCCGCTTCAACTTCGACCCCCATGTTACCACAGGCATGTTTCCAAAAATAGACCACCCGCCACGGATGAAGATGAAAGGCTCTAAATCAATGCTTGCTGCTTTTGTCTCTCCTCTTGGGCGTCCTCGTTTGGGTCTTCTCCTTTTGGGTTGGAAAGGATTGGTG